AAACATTAGGGGTAAGTGGTGTAAGGTAAACATTAGGGGTAAGTGGTGTAAGGTAAACATTAGTTTGTAGGAGGTTTAATGTAAACATTGGAGGTAGGTGATGTAAGGTGATTGGAGGTAAGTGGTTCAATTTTTGGGTATAGTAATTAAGTTAAATAATTAATGAAATCATATTTCCACGACGTAGATAGATCTACAAAGAAAACAAGAAAATATTATTTTTTGGTTCATTGTTTTTAATGATTGTCTCCCTTTAGCTCTATTCATGTAGTTAATTCGCAATCACGTGATTTCTATTTTTAACCCTGAATAATCAATTTTTCATTTATACCCTAAGGCAGGGGTTCCCAACCTTTTTTTTACTCTAGAGCACATTCTAAAATATCGGTAGGGTGGCGGGCACCACCTATTTTAAATCGTCAAACTCTTTCCAGAGGCGTAGCGACCCTTCCCGTCACCCGGGGACAAAACTTTCGATTTCCACCCCCCCTCAAATCTTTGATTTGCACCCCCTCCCCCTCAAACTTTCGATTTGCACCCCCCCCCCCTCAAATGTTCGATTTGCACCCCCTCCCCTCAAACTTTCGAGTTCCATCCCCTTCAACCTTTCAATAATGTTTATGAACAAAATTCTGTCTCTGTCGAATAGTGAGAGGCGGGCACATAGGAATCGTTCGGCGGGCGCTATGGCGCCCGCGGGCACGGGGTTCGGAACCCCTGCCCTAGGGATAGTGAATAAACTTTTACCTACAGTTTTATGTAAATATTATCGATTTATCAATTTAATTACTATAATAATCAATATTTCTTTAAGGATATGAAGGTGAGGCGTAGAGTTACCTCTAAGAAAGCTACATTAGTGCTATACACGAGTCTCTCCTTACTTCAAAACATAAAAATACAGATAGGTTATACGCACTCTATTTATTGTATCAATAGTTGCTATCCTAATTCGAGTTGTTTAACTAAATGCAAGTCGATTTGTAAATTAAGAAAAATCAATATAGAAGCCATTTTTTCAATGGTAAATTTAATTGTTCAAAATAAAATGCTGATGTTGGGTGAATGATAAGATTTCATTCTAGCAATAATTCACAGACTTCTGATTACTTCCTGACAAAATTTCTTCCTCTTCTTGAGTGAGTAGTATCACGTGACCAGCCATACCAAAACCCGTGCTAAATGTGTCCTGGACTTACTCGGATTCGATCCAGTAGCTCCTGTCTCCTCAGCATAGCCTGCTGTAGCTTGAGTTGACTCTCGTAGCCATTGTCAGCTGGGGGACAAGAGGGGAGCAGGGTTAGGTGGCTGTATGTATGGTCTTAGCTGATACATAACAGGACATTCACACAGGACATTCACAGACACAAACAACAGACTGTCATAACGTCAGTTTAGTACAAGAGGGTAGCTATGTTAGGTGGTGATAAGTCTGGTCTTAACGGACATAATATAACAAGACATTCACAGTAAACAAACTCTGCTGTAGTACAAGAAGGTAACAGGGTTAGGTGGTTTTAGATGATACATAACAGGACATTCACAGATACAGACAACAGACTGTTACAATATCAGCAATAGCACATATATTACGAGGGTAATAGTGTCAGGGACTTATACTGGTCTTTACTGTCATACACAGAAGACAAGACAATCACAGACAATGGACAAGACAATCACAGACACAAAACAAGACAATCATAGACACAAGATACGAAAATCACAGACACAAAGCAAGATATTCAAAGACAGTCAACTTTCATATCTTTTCGATGGAAGAGACATATTCTTAATTTTACCAGTCAGGTTATGATTTAAAACTGCCGCTAAAAATTGCGAAAACAAATCTTTAGAGACACAGAGACACAGTTGAGGACACATGACTAGACGAACACACCTGTACAACAAATTATTCACCGACACAGACATAGCGACACATGTTACATAACAGTTGATTGTATTATGTAGGAAGGCAAAGGGGGGGGGGGGGAAATCACAACTAGTTTCCATAATTTCTGATAGGATTTTTAGAAGAGGTTTTGAATATATATGTTCTGTTTCGCCGAACGTGCTTATGCCTAAGGAATTAGACTTACAGGTTGGTGGCTGTCTGTATTCGCGGTGTGAATAGAGTTGCCAGTAATGGAACGTTCGTAAAATACCGTTGTTGAATTCATATTTTGTATTTTGGTTGGTCACAGTTCTCACAGTCCGTTCACCCGAAAATATCAAATGCCCCCGCCCCCCCCCCCACCCCACCGGCCCGGAGAAAAAAGTCTAGAAGAAAAACTGTACGCTCTATCCAAATATATTTTCTCTAAATTCTACCCTAAAATAAACCCTGTTTCAAGTCCAACCTCAAACCTCTTATCTCTTCATTCCCATTGTTAAAAAAATCATTACATATGTATTTGTATTGTGTTGATTTGTGTGTAAGTATACTTACTGGATTGACTCTCCGGCCTCTGTAATTTGTCTCTCTCATTAGCTAGTTTCTGAGGAAGAGATAATACGGGTTTAAAATATAATCTTTGCTGAAAATATTGAATCGAACTTTGTTCGTGCAAAAAAGCAAAAATAAGCATCCAATTAAGTAAAAATTGGTATCAAATTGCATTGTCATAGGGTTTTTACATACCTGCCAAGTTTAAGAGAAATTGTTCAGTGAGAAGTGGTCGAAATTTAGCCCGGCAGTTGCGATCCATAAGATGGACAGAGGAAGGAAGTTAAATAAAAGATTGTAAAAATAAAGGACTTTCACGATTGCTTGGTATTTTTACACGAGGTCGATTTACGTTACAGATATCTACACTCATGCATTAGCCACAAAGTAACAATTAGAAGTAAGCCCATAAACCTCGTAATAACAATCAGAAGTAAGCCTACAAGTCTCAGTATAACAATTTGAAGTAAACACATAAACCTCACAATAACAATTAGAAATAAGCCCACAAGCTCTTAACAACTAGAAGCAGTGTTTCTTCCAGACTTTTTTCTCCGGGGGGGGGGGGGCACTTGATATTGTCCCGGGGGGGGGGGGGGCGATGAACATTTTTCGGGGGGGGGGGGGGACACTAGTAAAAGTGTATGTTTACTATATAAATTCCATCTCTTTCGGCGGGGCGGTAGACTTTCTTTGGGGGGGGGGGCAGAGATGTCTGAAAGAAACTCTGATTAGAAGTAAGCCTACAAGCATGATAATAACAATTTTAAGTAAGCCCCACAATAACAGAAGTAAGACCCTCAAAGGACTCCATAACCAAATAGAAGGCTTACACCAAAACCCACAATAACAATTACACTGCTAGTTTTACAGCCCACGATAATGAATATAAGATTTAGATGAAATATCAACATATCAATTAGAAAGCTTAAATCGAATTCTAAAGTTGTCCAGAGTTGGTGAAAATGAGCAGTTTCTAAATATATTTGCATCCCCCCCCCCCGCTCAAGATTTCGATTTGCACCCATCCCCCTCTCAAGATTTCGATTTGCACCCCCCACAAACATTCGATTTGCACCCCCTCTCAACCTTTTAATTTATTTTTCCAACCCACCGGGTGACACCATTTAGGGGGTGACACCAAGGCAAAAAAAAGCAAAATATATAAAGAAAAACTTGAGAGGGGGGGGGGGTGCAAATCGAAAGGTCGAGGGGGGTGCAAATCGAAAGTTTGAGGGGGGGAGGGGGTGCAAATCGAAAATTTGAAAGTTTGTCCTCGGGAAGGGCCGCTACGCCTCTGGAGGGTGACACCATTAAGTGCCGCACCGGGTGACACCCGACCTCGCTACGCCACTGGTCTAAGCTGGTTGATTTATACATAATACAAAATGTTTAATTAGAATTTTATTTTAAACCTGAAAATGCATATGTATAATAAATAGTGTTTCAACTATTTGTTTTTTTATATATATATATATATATATATATATATATATATATATATATATATATATATATATATATATATATATATATATATATATATATATATATATATATATATATATATATATATATATATATATATATATATATATATATATATATATATATATATATATATATAAATAAATATATATAAATATATATAAATATATATATATATATATATATATATATATATATATATATATATATATATATATATATATATATATATATATGTTACGGTCAAAGCCCGAAGTGCGGCCAAAGCGCGGATTGGCCGGCCAATGCGCGCATTGGCCGGCTCTCTTGGCCAAAGCATGAAGAACTTAGCACTAAGATTATATTTCGTACATTGGCCGGCCAATGCGCGCACTGGCCGGGATGTCCTGGCCAATGTTCTATCTAGACTAAGTTGTGATCGCGTTTTCATTATTCTAGGTGTGGTTTCATTGTGAGTAACGTATTGTTTAGCTCTTGTATTCTATATGCAAGGCGACATGGATCAAAAGGGCCGTCAGACTATGAGACAGACATAGCAGATGGCTGTCAAAAGAAAAAAATGTAAATCCATGTTAGTTTCCATATATGGGCTACAACTGTATGTGACAGCCTTCTCCATGATGACGAGGTGAGACAATCATCAAATAACAAAACCAAAGACAGTCGGCGTCATCGACCACGTGCAACAAGACTGAATGTTCAAAAGACTTTGCCGCGTTCCTTGTAAGTTGAACAATAGTGTCCAAGCGACTTGAGATGGCGTGGGCGTCAGAATCCACATTAAATCTACCAAGAGAGGCTCTCGATAAAATAGTTACTGAGGAAGATCTTGAGAACATTGAACAAGAAATGGAGGTTGCCATACATGCAACGACATCCTCAGCTAACACATCTGCTGCCGTGGCGGAACGTCCAGACCAGTTGCGTGACAATAATGTGGCCAACAGATTCTATATAGTTTGTGAAAAACATTGTAGTGCAGCTCATTCTTTGGATCCTGTGGCAACGATGGCCATGCTATTTGTGGAATACCCAATGAAGCAGACGAAGGGTACGGAGGGAACATTACCTGCAGATTGTGTCACAACAGACAAGACATCATGGAACACAGATCAGCAGCTCATACTGGCTTGCAAACTCAAGGTGCTAAGATGCTTAAAACATCAAATACAAAATTTAAAGATGGTGAAGTTGTGACAATGTACGCATCCGTGTTCCAGATGTTGACAGAGGTCGCGGTGATCCCCGAAGCGTGATTGCAGTTTTCATGAGCGTCGAGGGCGGTTTCTACAAATTAGGAACGGAACATGGTGTTCTAAAACAACTGTATGCTAGAAGTGAGTTTTCAATTCTTCACGAAAAACTGCTCTTATTGTCGTCAGTTGGCACTGAGGAAAAATCACTAAGAACCATCGCATCTTCACAATCATTGAGTGGGGGCCAAGGCTACACTCGCAATTGCACAACTAAGTGCACAACAAATCGCTGCAAGTGTAAAAATAACAAGCTGCTATGTAATTCTAAATGCCATAAAAGTTCAACTTGTAACAAATGATAATATTGATTGATTGAGACTATAGTACAATAAAAAAAATTGAATGTTTCTGTCATTTACTTTAATTAATAATCAATAAAGACTTAATTTCATGATCCTTACGGCATAAAAAAAAATCTGCTCATGATCTTCTAATTCGAACTTTGGCCGGTCGTCCCTAGCCAGATGATCTTCTAATTAAGACTTTCGCCGGTACAACTTGGCCAGTCTGCGGATTGGCCGGCCAAAGGCCGAAATCAAGCAAAGTTTCGGACTTTGACCGACCTATGGGAGGCGATATTGGCCAATGCGCGGATTGGCCGGCCAATCCGCGCATTGGCCGACTTCGGGCTTTGACCGTAACATATATATACATATATATATGTTTGTTTTTCTTATTTTCTCTTTTCTTTCCCTTCCGGTGGGTCAGGTTGATGGGGTGTGGGGTAAGTTTGAAATAAATGTGAGATTAAAGAAAAATGATATTATAAGCAGTCTGGATGATATGTTTAGTACAATGAGACACATACAACAAAACATTCTTCCTTTTCGAACATCTATATCCTTAGTAGTGCTCCCACGGGTATTTTTAAATTTTATTTTTAACATTTAAATCGCTACCAGTACCGTTTGAATAAAACATTATCAACAATTGTATGTATAACACTTAAGTAAAGAATTCAAATTGCATTAGAACTTAACTTTTATTTTTTTTATTTTTCATACTAGATCCAGACTAATTTTTTTTTTTACTAAAATAGCCAATTTCGTAGGCGAACACGAGTTATTAAATAAGTCTGTAACATTTCGTTTGTCTTCAATATAGATATATTTACTACATGCTGTATTTCAATATTAATTATTGTGCAATTAAAATAAAGAAATGCAAAAAAAGCTTATTATTTAAATAATATTTGCACAAATAATGTTTAATTAAATAAAATAATAATAAATAAGCATCGAACAAACTAATATATGTTATTTATAAAGTGATTTCTCTGTTGTTAAAAAAAGTTTGTTACAAATTTAAGCGTTTTCTCCCTTTAAATAACAAACATACTGTGAAAAAAAATGTAAAATATTGGTTTTAATTATGTTATATTTTGAGATTTAAATATTCTACAAAAAAACAGGTAAAAGATATAAACTTTAGACATAGAATAAAATATGGAACAGGAAGTTGGATTACCACTGGGGAAAGTTGGAGAAACTAGCACAAAAAGATGGGTTACCACTGGGGACAGTTGGAGAAACTAGCACAAGAAAGATGGGTTACCACTGGGGACAATTGGAGAAACTAGCACAAGAAAGATGGGTTACCACTGGGGACAGTTGGAGAAACTAGCACAAGAAAGATGGGTTACCACTGGGGACAGTTGGAGAAACTAGCACAAGAAAGATGGGTTACCACTGGGGACAGTTGGAGAAACTAGCACAAGAAAGATGGGTTACCACTGGGGACAGTTGGAGAAACTAGCACAAGAAAGATGGGTTACCACTGGGGACAGTTGGAGAAACTAGCACAAGAAAGATGGGTTACCACTGGGGACAGTTGGAGAAACTAGCTCAAGAAAGATGGGTTACCACTGGGGACAGTTGGAGAAACTAGCACAAGAAAGATGGGTTACCACTGGGGACAGTTGGAGAAACTAGCACAAGAAAGATGGGTTACCACTGGGGACAGTTGGAGAAACTAGCACAAGAAAGATGGGTTACCACTGGGGACAGTTGGAGAAACTAGCACAAGAAAGATGGGTTACCACTTTTCGTACCAGCCTATATATAGATTGGACAGCTATTTGACCAAAGTCATCCCATAAAATATTACAGTAAAATGTCCATTTCTTATATGATTTAGCAAATGTATGTTTCTATTAAATTTAACTTCTGTAAAGTATTATTTTAAACACTATTGTGAGATGTCCATGTTATACAAGTAAGTATATAGTCGATGTAATACATGATTGTGAAATGTCTACATTAAAATCGACCTTGTAAAATTTGCAGTCTTGTAAGCCAGCAATAACAAATGTTACTTGCACAGTCCTGTAGCTAACAGTAACATTCGTTGCTTGCAAAGTCTAGCAACTTGCAGTAGCATTCGTTACTTTAATATTATATATAATATTATATTATATACTTTAATTAGCAGTAACATTCGTTATTTTTACTTTCTCACAACTTGCAGTAACATTTCTTATTGTAACTAGGAGTAACATTCCTTACTTTAACATTTCTGTAACTAGCAGTAACATTCGTTACTTTTACATTTCTGTAACTAGCAGTAACATTCCTTACTTTAACATTTCTATAACTAGCAGTAACATTCGTTACTTTTACATTTCTGTAACTAGCAGTAACATTCGTTATTTTAACATTTCTATAACTAGCAGTAACATTCGTTACTTTTACATTTCTGTAACTAGCAGTAACATTCGTTACTTTAACATTTCTGTAACTAGCAGTAACAAACGTTACTTTAACATTTCTGTAACTAGCAGTAACAAACGTTACTTTAACATTTCTGTAACTAGCAGTAACATTCGTTACTTTAACATTTCTGTAACTAGCAGTAACATTTGTTACTTTAACATTTCTGTAACTAGCAGTAACATTCGTTACTTGCACTTTTCTGTTGACAAACAAACACAACCTATCGAAATGTGATCGAGCGATCGATCTGTGACATACACCACGAGATCACATGATACCCGTCTCTGACGATAAGACGGTGTCGTCTTTTATTATCACCCTATCGATTTTATCCTATTCTCAACGTAATGAAAAAAAAAACTTCAAAGATTAACAACTAATCTTGGATGTTCGTTAATCTGTGTAGTAATTTAAAAATATATTTTACCGTTTACATTCTTCTTACACCTGTCAATCTTTTACGATGTATAGCATTAGTTTTTAAGAGTAGCAATCAAGACATATGTTTGTGAAGTGTGTAATAAATGTCTTATCAGTTGATCATATTATGTATTTATGTGCGACATGAATGGAGTTAGAAGTAGGTTATATTTGGACAGTCACGTTTGATAATGCTGGCTTGATGTTATATGCTAGATTATAAGGTGGTCAATGTCGATTTGTTGTTATGTTCTAGATTATAAGGTGATCAATGTCGATTTATTGTTATGTGCTAGATTATAAGGTGGTCAATGTTGGAAATGTTGACTTGATTTTTTGTGATATATTATAAGCTGGTCAATTTTATATTGTGCAGTCAATGTTGATTTGTTGTCCTGTGCTAGATTATAAGTGATTTCATGGTACTGATATATATATAGCACAATACTTGCTCAGTTAGAGTGTTAGTTTATATTTGTTTTGTCAGGTATGTGAGGTTGTGTGCTTTTGAACATGCTGATTTGTGTGGTCGTGTTTGTATGTGTGTGTATGTGCATGTTTGTGTGTGTACTTGAAGAGGTTCGTGTGTGCGGTGTAGTATGTGTATGTGGTTGTGATGCATGCGCCAGTTTATGTGTATGTTTGTATATGCGTGTGTATGTAGAGGAATTAATACACACAGCAGTAACTTTGGAAAAAAACAACTAAATCTAAATTTAAACAACTAGAATTCACCCACACAATCGTTAAAACAGATTTTGAAGAAAGGTGCACAATACAAATCGTCAATGAAAGTGTATAAGTGTATTCTAACAGGGAATAAAGTAATGAAAGAGGGAATCGCGAAGAAGAAAAAATAGATTATAATCTAGAGGTTGATGAAAGCCTGCACTTCGTGTGCTTTAGAAGATGACAAGAATATTGGGCTATTCTTTCTCTATTTAAAAACACACACATACTAACACACACAAACACACACACACAAACACACACACACACACACATATATATATATATATATATATATATATATATATATATATATATATATATATATATATATATGTGTGTATATATATATATATAATTGTATGTATGTATATAATACATTAAAAGTTTGTTGTATTTTTTGTCAATTAGCCAGTCACAAATGTCACGTTTCTAACTTTTCCGTGCCTGCTACTTACTTTTAATTGTACTTTACAAAGGCAAGTGGCTTGTGTCCCTTGAGTCTGATTAACTTCCGATTGTTTTTACCGGTTTAAGAAAAATCGAACGATCGTAAATCACAGAAGTCAATGAACGAAAGGGCCTTCAGCCATTGTGAGAAGCCATCTTGAGAGTATTTTCCTATCGTCTTCAAGATATTGTATAGTGTTATGAGTTATCTAACCTGACTGTATTTCGGTCAAAGACCACATACAATCATATACTAAGAATAATTAATCTGCACATCAAACTATTGTTACTGAAAACACACATTAGTTCTGTAACGCTTCCGTTGCTAGTGTAAACCAACTTTCACAAGATGGCGGCGGTGTAGAAAATCCCCCACCAATGAATATCCGCCTTGCCTAAACAAACAAGTCCTTACCCCTATCACTGAGGCCAAGTTGACTACACTAAACGTTTTAAGTTTGGCACTCAGATAAACCAGCACACAAACCCACACCGGCCAAATTATTAATCGCGTATGGCTTTAAAAAAAGCTATACCTGGCCAAAACGATATATAGAAAAAAAATCTGGAACCAACAGCCAGTCCACGTGATACTACCAAACACAACACTGTCGCTATGGCGACGACCGTATACCAACACCAAACGAAAGTCTAAAGATATATATCGCCCCTTTCCTCAATTCTTCAGGCTGTCCAAAATTGTAAAGAAATCTCTAATAGAATTTGAAGTCTGGTTTCCTTTCATATTACCCCCCCCCCACCCCCTATTGAATCAGTAGTGTGTACCACGGGCATTCAATCGTCAGACCTTAGCACAAAGACAGAATGTAAGAGTTATCTATTTACTTTATGTAGAAAGCAAATCAGCACTGGACGAGAATACCGATCAGGCTAGAGTGCCGTGGTCTGTGTTAATAGCTACACTTGACATTTTTTTTTTTGGGGGGGGGGGGGGGGTTGAGGTGTGGTGGTGTGTACTGAACAAGCCCACACAGAAGCCCAGCAATAGAAGTTTGTGTACTTAACAAGCCCACAATGAAGCCTAGCGTTTAAAAAATGTGTACAAACAAGCCCACAATAAAGCTTAGCACTATTACGTTATGTACCGATTACGCCCACACAGAAGCCCATACATCCAAACTTGTACGGAACAAGTCCAGAAAGCCCAACTCTAGAAATGTGTACTTAGATAATGCCCTGATACCCCATCACTAGAAATATATGTATGAAACAATACTGAGCAGCAGATGTACAGAGGAGAGTTATATGTCAAACAGTTTGTACAAGAAGTTCAGCAGTAGTAATTTTTTTAACGTAACACGAATTACCAAAGTTATCAAATGAAGTAGGCCTAACTTCAGCTTAGAGTAGTCTAAGTTTAGTAAGTTGTATTTAAACAAGCCCTCACTATGACACTGATGATCTAAAGAGGTCAACCCATTTAAATCCTAGCAAAATTATGTATGTACTAAACAAATTAATCACCTAAACCCATCTATAGTCAGTAAATAACGTAAATGCACAGGAGTACACTTGCATAAGGACTGTTAGGCTATACACATTTTACTTCTTAGAATTGTATATCCGTTTCTAATTGTGTTAAACTTTACAAAATACAGATGCTAAACTAGTTTCTTTCATTTCAGTAACATTATTGGTAATCTTTTGACGTCAGTTTTTTGTGACTTAGTCGTTTTCCATTCTGAAGTGAATGCAGTAGTTATAGCAATTAACAAAAAAAATGTATACTTGAAAAATTGGTCGTTTAAGACAAATTAAAAACTTTTTATGGAAAATGTTATTTGTTTCGTGTCAGCTTAAGTGTTTTAGTGTTAATCCCAACACAAAACTAAACATTAACCTTCAACATTAGATACTATCTGATCTTGATGGACTTTAGGGATAGGTTGAAGGAAAAGTACACGTCGATATCTAGTGTTAGTTAGCCTACTTGCTCTAAACACTAGATTTAATAATGACTAAATTTATTCAACTAAATCTTGATATACTGAATTGAACTGAATATTTTCAGTTCTAAATTATTTTTTCCAGTTAAGAGAGAATATTTATTTCTTTGATCAAAAGACGAGTAATCTATTACTTAAATCACGATAAAAACAAACGAAAAAAAACCCATTTATTTAGAACCATTTATCTACATAAATATCTATTACCAGTACATAAAATACGTTTATTTTTAAAACCGCACTTTAAATTAATAAAGCTCCAAGTCATTTTATACAGAAATTTAACAAAAGAAACTGTGTTACTACTTACTTTTAACAAGAGTAAATGTTTTCCTACTTATTTTTAACGAGAGAAACTGTGTTACTACTTACTTTTAACAAGAGTAAATGTTTTCCTACTTACTTTTAACGAGAGAAACTGTGTTACTACTTACTTTTAACAAGAGTAAATGTTTTCCTACTTACTTTTAACGAGAGAAACTGTGTTACTATTTACTTTTAACAAGAAAAATGTTTTCCTACTTACTTTTAACAAGAGAAACTGTGTTACTACTTATTGCCCAAATGATCAGATTACGAATCTAGTTTTAGTGAAAGTTTCCTGCTAAATCTACACAAAGACCACGCTCAACAGAGCCACTAATGCGTGTCTATGTGCAGTTAACCACGAAACTTCCTTTCTTCTTACTTGATCATTTGCATAAAATAGAAGAGTCTTGAATAGGTTAAATGATTTATTGGGTTTTATTCAACTCTGATGTTCGAGCACAGAGTTAAAGGTGTATTGAAGACTATGTGTGGCAGAGTTGAAGAATATGTGGTTGTCTGGTTTTTATTTCTACCCGTATGGTGTTGCTGATAATAATCAGGGTTAGAGTTAGGTTAATTTCAGGTTAATTAAGTGTTTGGGTAAAGCTTAGGTTAATTGTATGCATGAGGGTGGGGATTACATATAACTGGCTCATAACTGTCATATAGCTGGCCCATAACTTTCCTATAGCTGGCCCATAACTTTTCTATAGCTGTCCCATAACTTTCCTATAGCTGGCCCATAACTTTTCTATAGCTGTCCCATAACTTTCCTATAGCTGGCCCATAACTTTTCTATAGCTGGCCCATACCTTTCCTATAACTTTACCATAGCTGGCCTATAGCTGTCATATAGCTGTCCCATAACTTTCCTATAGCTGTCCCATAGCTGTCATATATCTGTCATATGCATGTTCCTCCAATAACAAAACGTGTTACAAGATCTACCAGTTCCAAATCTCCTAGTCACGTGACGAACCTTAAGTTATTCCACCGCCAACATATGCATGTGGCTCTAGTGTCAATCAACATGACGTCACCCGGTGACGTCGTTCGCGAGGGATCCGCATTATGTTTAGTCAAGCGTAACGCTAAAAGTGCTCTTGTTTTTATGTTGGAGTAATTGAGATCAATTATTGGAATAAGCTGACACAAGTCAATCTAATTATTCAATGATTTTAAAATATGCGCTCTAAAAAAACAGTTGGATCATGCGCTTCAGTTTTTTAGGAATGGGGATTATATATATATATATATATATATATATATATATATATATATATATATATATATAATGTATATAAATATAATATGTATATATGTATAAATTTATATATACTTTAATATAGATGTGTATATTATATGTATATATATATATACATATATATATATATATATATATATATATATATATATATATATATATATATATATATATATATATATATATAAATTATATATACATATAATATATACATTATAAATATAAATTATATATATATATATATATATATATATATATTATATAAAGAGTTTATATGTATACATGTATACATAAATAAAGTTTAGTGGATTCTATTAGCATTCACACGACAGAACAAGGGGCAATCCTCTCTTTAATCGAAGTTACAAACAGCATATCCAAACAGGAAAGTATTTTTAGATTTCCAACTTTTACTTTCATTTTGACACTAAAATCGATACTGAGGTGGGAAGCGCGGCTAGATCAACAATTTTAATCAAAATCGATATATCGTATTGATTTTCCTTTCATAACTTATCAAGCCGAATATCTCCTTTTGAAATAGAAACATATCGACGCATCGATCGTGCACAACATTTTGTCAGTGTAAGTAAACTACACGCTTTTTACCTGACTAAACGGAACACCACTTTCATATATAAACATCGTCTGGTATTCACTGTATCTTAAACGGAATATTTTACAAGATACTTATCCTGTTTCGCTTAAAGCGGTATAACTTAATACCTACTACATATTATAAAAGTTATTGAAAGTTTGCAATGGTTTAACTTTGTGATAGGGTTATGATCCCAAACTTTGATTCAAAAGAGTGATTAAAAGTTCATAAATATAGAGAATATAGGAGAGATAAACATCTATACAACATTTCTACATGTTAGATTCTCTTCGTACGTCAGCACTATGTCAGTAATCTAGACAAACTCGACCATATATAGTAACACAAGATTACATATACACACTAACACACACACACACATTTACACACATGTATATATATATATATATATATATATATATATATATATATATATATATATATATAACTAAATTTTATATATGTATGTGTGTGTATTTGCATACTTGACGCCTAAAAACTAAAAACTAAAATTTCTCCAATGTTATACTCTAAATTAACTATTAATTCTACTTCTGATATATTTTTACAAACTAAAATTTCAACAAAATAAAATCACAGGGATATTTTCTTTTCAAATTTAAATGATACTTAAATTCATTTAAAAACACATTAATCTGTGAAATATCACGTTTATCTGTAAAATCTCATCAGTAATCTTCAAGCGTAAAGATCAACGTTTAAATTTGTTAAACAATTTTTACGACAGCCATAAATACAACCTATTTTTTAATTGCGTCCCTTTGAAATAATATAAAAGTATTGTAAAGTGATTTGTATTCAATTCATGCAGACATTTTACACCTCATTGTTTAAAGTAAAATGTCTAACAGATTCATTAAGCAATGTTAATTCATCACTAAAAACGCCTAAGGATTAATTTGATTATAGTAATATAGCAAATTATTGAAAGAGTAAAATACAACGACTCTTTTTATCTAATACCATTTAATAATATAACACGAATATTTAAAAGTTTTTCATTAACCAATATTTTTGATACGTCTAATTTGCCTTAAATCACATACCACACCCCGCTTTTTTAATTCCAGAGATACGACATTTGATAACAAGGACACTTAAGTGAAATTTTAAGTCATGTTTTAATTGAAGTTTTAAGTTTTATATGAATTTTTATGTAACGTTTTATGTAAAGTTATAAGTCAAATTAAGATCAAGTTTTAATTAAAGTTTCAAATCAAAGTTCTTGGTGAATTTTTAAATGAAGTTTTAAGTGAAGTATGAATTAAAGTTTTCAATATAAGTTTTAAATGAAGTTTCAAGATACATTTTAATTGACGAAAGATTTTAAGTAATGTTTCAAGTAACTTGAAGCTTAAAGTAAAGTTTTGAAAGTAAAGTTTTGAAAGTAAAGTTTTGAAAGTAAAGTTT